CTATTGCACACAAAACATGAAACAGAAACAAACACAATTCGACTATGTTCTGCAAAAGAATAGTTTGATAAATAAGATTCCTGCAGCCTTGTGTATATAAAGAAAAGTAGAATGTGTTCAGTATGAAATAAATGATAACATTATAGTATTAATTATTAAGCATACTATTAAGCAATTATTAAATTCAGGTTTTTAAAAGAATTCTTCATATTGTTAGTATAATATTGGCCTTTTTCAAAGCGGATTTTCCTCCTGCTTTAATTAAACAATAATATAAAATTTTAAGTACGAATCACTGATGGTGTCCACGACAATTAATTTGTTACGAAGTATTATTAGGTTGATACATATGAAATGTCGGACTTTAAAAATAAAAAGGCATGATTTAATAATATAATAGTGTGGCAAAATAGCACTTATATCAGTTTAGAAGTCGAAGCATGAAGAAAAACAGTATATAAATTTGTAATTAATGTTCGTTACATTAAAATGAAATTATGGCGTAAAAATCTCCTGACACATTGACACCTTAATACAAACAAATTTGTGCTAAATTTTACTGATCTAAAATAATAATAGGGTCATCTTACTGTGTGTCGTGTAAAATATTCAATGAGATGATTTTCTATCTGTTAGTTTATAGCAAGCATATTTTTGAAAAATTTATGTTGTTATTTTTAGCAAACTTTTAAACATTCAAATTGATATATCATAAATATCATTTTATAGTCTATGTCGACAGTAAGTAATATTAGTGTAGAACGTATGAGAACGTGACCGTTCAAAAGCGATCATTTTCCATTAAGATACAAAGATTTTTAACGTAAAATATTTATCACCTGATGTCACCAATATCACCTGAATATTTAGAGAAACATTACTAATCTAATGTCCTCATTGACTATCACGATTTTGTAATTAAGTGCACAATATTTAGAAAATTTCTATGGATTTTTATTTTTAGGATTGTATTACGCACCTAAGATATTCTACATACGTATTGAGAATTAATTCTTCCTGTAAAAACTCCTCGTCTCAAAATTACAAATTGAAAAAAAAATTGGACCTCTAATACTTCTCTAAGGAAATATTAAAGTTTTTGCAGTAGTAGATTCTTTGAAGGTGAAGGAAACTAGTAATGAACATTCAATCGCACTAATAGCTGATACTATAATATTTATGCAAAAGCTTAGTTCGAATCATACTAAACACTTTTTATTGTTATTAAGTTTTTAATGGGAGCTATTTTAGTATCCTGTTACTTACAATTTATGGAAAAGGAAATTGAGTAGTACAAAATCTAGCTGATCTAATCTAGTATCCTATTACGTACAATTTATAAAGAAAGAAATTGAATTGCACGAAATCTAGCTGATCTAATAGTGAATGTATTAGGTGGTTTTTACAACACTGTAAAACTAATTATTTCCATTTAAAAATATTTAAGGACTTGCATCTAAATCAATTTAAAATTATTTATAAACGTTAATGAATTTGGGCGATGAATGTTATATAAACACATGAAATGGTATTTTTCAATAAAAATTGATAGTATTGTTACGGAAACATAAGATTGTTTTAAATTGCAAATGGATTGAGAAAACGTTTACAACCGTTTTTCTGAAAATCCATTTATTTATACGTTGAAATATATGTATAAAGGTTTACGTTAGAATTAACTAAAAAAATTTTGGTGAAATATTCTAGCAATGACTTTTCAAAATATAATCTTGTATTAAAGATAATAAACGCTCTTTTGTTACAAATGGATTTAGAATACTTTAAATAGTTACAAATTATGGAGAACATGAGTAGTAACATTTTTAAATCCATATTTAACTCTCATTGGCTTTTTTAAAATATATTTCTTAATATTCATTTTTAATTAGTCATTTTACTGGTTTCTTTTTTTAATTTACAATTATGATGCTTTTCTTGAAATTTATGTTGATTTTTATCAAGATAAGGAATTAGTGCGAATATTTGATTATATTTAATCGTTCGAGTATTTCTTTTTAATTATAAATTATATGTGCATTATACTCTGGAACAGTTTGCATTAAAGGAAAAAATAATAATTAAGATTGACATTACAAAAAAACATTCTCGATTAAATTATCTATGAGAATTTATAACAAAATAACTATGAAATATGTAATGTTTTGTTAAAATAACTGGTGAATTTATTGAAATTCTATTTTATTTCTCCTACGTTTGTCTTCTTCTATTATAGATCTCCTTCTTTCAATATTAAGCTCTATTATTCTTGCGTTTTATTTCTATGAATAAAATAAAAAAAATTGAAATATGTTTATGAAAAAATTTATTACTATTACTGTCAAATAAAATTGATCTGACATTGTATAACAACTTCTTTCATCTGATAATGATGACATCAAATATACAAATCAGTCCCGTGAAGCTTGCGAAACAAAGTTGAACGGAGTAAGAAAAATGAGACTTCCCATCATTTTATCTGAACAGTTATATCTTGACTATGACGTGTTCTAAAGACATTAACTATTAACAGCCGTGAAGACTTTGCTGGAGAAGTTGTAGTGATTAATAGTTATAACGATTAGAAAAGTGTTTTACTTATCGATTATTACGAACAGACTTATATCACTTCAAAAAAAAACAGTCTTAAAATAACGTTTTACAGTTAAACTTCTTTTGATTAATTCATGAGGATGTTATATTCAATTGACAGGGTTAATATGAATATCAGGAAATGTCTGTCTAAAACTATCTTCAATTAATTTTTTTTGCAAAATTGGATATATACCACTCTAAAGAAAAAACAGCTTACGGTATAAGGTAGTATTGGATACCAAATATCTGTAACTGGCTTCAGTTGTCAAATAATAACGAAATTAAGACAGTTTATACAATTGAATTCACTAGCTCTGTTCTCAAGACTAGTCTATATGAAGGGCCAACTACTTGAAATTCGGTAATATTGTGTTCAAATAGTGGCAATATTGGATTTAAATTGTGTCTAAACATTTAATTCAAATTTCTAAAACGTATACAAATCCCAAAATAAAATGACAAAGTAATAATATGCGTTTTATATACTTAATACTGTCACCATTATAATGTGGTTGCTCAGCAGTGATTTGTTATGAAAAAAAATATTAATATATGTATACAGCCTTCTTAACAAATAAATGATTCTTATATGTATACACTTCTCAATAAATAAGAACTATAGCAGTGCATCACTTATAGCAGTCAAAAATGATTCTTGCAAGTTCTCATAGAACCAATAATAATTTACACCATTAATACAAGGCGAGATTAGTTATTATGTCCTTTTAATTTAAGCGTTTGTTGTACCAAATGTCACTACATAAAATATTTTATTATTCATTATAGGTTTTTACTCACATTGAACAAAATATAAACTCATACATTCTTTTAACGCACCCTTTTGTCGCATAACTTAATTACATTTGTTTATATTAATGTTCAATCAATTTTGCATAGTCCTAAATCTAATTAATCCTAAATAAAATAGTACTAAAAATAGTCGTACTATTTTTCATGTGACTTTAACAAATTTCATAATCATAAAAATGTTAGGAATCGTATCATGAACGTCAACATAGAATTGTGTGTTTCATCAATTAGTTACCACCCTAACGATCAGTAAAAATTGCAATTTTTTTTCTTTTAATTTTTCTTATGGTTTCATATGTGCAGGAAATGATATCGAAACGACTATTTAAAATTCAAACATTCAAGTTCGAACAATATATGCAATAGTAATAAGTTACAGGAAATCGACTTTTTGTTACTCACGAGAACAGATAATTATCTTTCATTGAAGTTTTTCATGTGATATGTGGTATGTAATAATTACATATATGGGTAAGAATTATTAGCAGCAGTTACTCTTAAGAGTCTTTTACAATTCTCTAGAAACTACATTTTCTGATTTGGTCAAAGATTGTTCTGTACTTTAATTGCTCAATGACTAAAAACGTTTAATCCTTCGTTGAATACAGTTACACAAATAAAACATAAAATAATACACTACTGAAAATTATAAAATGCTTGTATTTCTATCAAACATTAATAAATAACCAGATTTATACGTAACAAAATTATTAAAAACAGTTTTTATTTTTCGTAACTACAATCTTCTACAGTGTTTTCTCAAAATATTGTAAATTTACAATTTTAATATCATTTTTCTTTAAATACATCATTTTACTTAAAAAGTTTAAAAAATCACGCAATGAATAGTTAGTGACAGTTAATGCGGTTTCTCTCGCCATTTCTATTAAAATGAAAGTTAATATAACACGATACTTTACATTACATTTTGGTTTATACAATTTAATTTATACAAAATTTCCGATTTTAAATATTTTAGTTCTTGTTAGCAATAACAAGGAGCAATCGATCTTAGTAAATGAAATTTTGAAATTAACAAATAACTTAGTAAAATTTTTATTTTTTACAAATTGAAATATAGAACTAGAGTTTACAATTACATTTCTTGCGAATATTATAATTACCTATAAAGTTTTCCAATATGTGGTTAATTACGAAAAATATATTCAAACTTGACATATTTTTAAATGCCTCAGGGTAGTGTCTCCTTTTAATATGAACCTTCGACAAAATATTTCTCGAAATAGGACCTTTTCCTTTTCTTCCGTGCCAGAGGCAGATTAATTTTTTTGTATAATTATGGAGAAAGCGAGAGAAAGTTTTCTATGTCTTATGTCGGCATTTAACTTTATCCGGCGCGGTTCAGATGTGAACTCACTTCTTCGAGGACCGTTCTCAACACGACACGTGTGTCATAGTTTTCGATCGACACCAATTGTTTATCATTAAATCGTTTCTGGTGAAATTTCGCGCGTGTTATAGAACGTCGATGTTGCACTAAATTTTGTTTTTTTCTCATTGTTCTTTATTTGTCATTTTTGTTTCAACACGTAGAATCAATTGACTACAAAGAAGTTATTGGGCAATTTTGATCGGTAATGGACACGAAAGAGTTCGTTGACTTTGGCAAAGCGGCCATCGACTTCGTGGCTAATTATACGGATACCCTGAGGAACAGGAAAGTCCTCCCGGATGTTGAGCCTGGATATCTCAGTGAACTATTGCCGGAAGAAGCACCACAGAAAGCGGAAACTTGGCAGGAAGTTCTCAAAGATGTCGAAGAATACATTATACCAGGGGTAAGTTTTCATAAAAACATATTTTCATTCTTTTAAATCTTTTGTTTTTGAAATTAAAATTCTTCTCCTTGAAATTAACTCCTTGCACTATAGATTTATTTGTTAAGTGGGTCAGTTAGAACTGGTTAATTATAGTTATAATATTAAAACAGACACAGAAAGTTGAAATGTTATGTAAATTTGGTATCATGCAGTCGTTGACCATACAAATTATAATTAGACTTGAACTCCAAATTGGGGATGTATTCAATATTCGAGTAAAATTGATCACAGCTGAAGTATGAGTGCGTCATGAATCAAGCTCGTCAAAATAGTGCAAGGGGTTAAGCGAATTATTATGTTGAAATTAAGCGAAAGTGAAGGATACTGTTTGAAATACTTATTATATTTTACACGTGTCGGTGATTATGAAAGTGGAATAAAAATAAGTGTTTAAAATTACTTTACTGTTGTGTCGCAAGATTATTCATTAAACATTTATTAACTTATCGATGGTTGAAAAACTGAACAAGAATTTTATACAGAAATATGATCTTTAAAACTCCATGTGATCTAAACTGACGAATGTTTTTGAAATTCATGATTTAGGAAAAGTGCACACACTATGAGTTTGTGATTTTGAAAGCTTGTCAAATATAGACATGTTTTCTTTTCAACGAAGCTAACTGTTAAATATACAAAAGAATAATTTCAAATGCCGCGTCGAAAGATTACTTTATTACTAGTAACAAGATGATGCTGTTATAATACATGCACATATGTGTAGCAAGGTATACAAAGGTATACATGTACATATAAGACGGTTCTATATAATAAATATTATTTTCGAGTTTTCACATTAAATATATTACAAATAAAAGTTTTTTTTTCTAGGAACTTTGATACATAACAACAGTATTTTATACTTACTTAGATATTGATTTACACATTTTTCTTACATAATAACACAATTTTATGTAGCCTTGTATTCCTTTATTGCATATTTGTGTACATATATGGATTTATTTTGAAAGTGGTGTAAGTCGATTTTCTTTTGTTTCGAGAAAATTGAAAGTTAGCATATTAGTCAGTCGAAGAATCAATTGCATAAATCATTTAGTTTCGATTATGAAAAATTAAATATTACTTAAAATATATTTCGTATTAATTCAATTTTCTTTATAAACAATAACAAGAAACAAAATAAAAGTAGTATTTTCTATTTTGAACGTTAATTATATTTATATATTGTTAAACTTAACATAAGATATTGCTATTATTTGTTTACGATCTTTATGTGGCTTCATAACCTTACCTTTTTCATGTCTAACAGGTCATGACACCATTGTACAAAGGCGCTAAAAATTTTTTTTAAATTTGGCAATCTTCTTCGTTACGTAGATGAGAATCTAACATCTTAAATTCTGTATCTTTCATAAATGATTTATATAAAATAGTATACGATGCATTTTTGCAAAATATCATCCAACATATCTTCAACCAATTTTTAATTTACCGTTTCGCCGCTAACATTTTTTGTACCTGTTTTTGAATTGCATTTTGTATATTTTGTATTGAAATGAAATTTTCTCATTACATTTTTGTATAAAATGAATTTATTATATAGTTTATAGTGCTTAATAATATCAGAATAATTCTGTGATGCAAAATAAAACAAATGTATTCATGTTACTCTGCCACCTATATCTATGGAAATTTTCACCTCATTCATAATCATTAGCTACACAATTTCTTTTATCTACCAATTTTAAATTAAACAAAGCATTGGCATTTTCTAAGATATTAAATATTAACTCATTATGAATAAAAAGTTTACACTAAATGAAGCACCTATCACGTGATAGCACGTTTTTTTTTAATGGACACACCGCTTTCAAAATAAACAGTCCATATAATAATTACTTATGTCATAATTGATTATCTACAATAGCACCTTGACAATTACTTGTTAAGAATATTCTACACTCATATGTGCATTATTCACATAAGCATGTATCCGCCATGCTGGTTATGCACCGATGTCAACCAATGAGTTGGTGCATGAAAAGGCTGACTCAGGTGTTCAGAAGAGCTTCGGCTCCGATTGGTCACAATAGAAAAATTAACACCTAAACTCACACGTATCTTTAGCGGTAGGAACAAGTAACTTGAGTTGTCACGCACACCAATTATATCAAAAACTGACAGTCAATAAACGTCTCAAGAGTGAGTGAGATAGTGTGAATTGTGTATTGCAGTTGTTATTGTCATTAACATTCTTATTTGCCAAAATGTAACGCTGGAAGTATTCACGGTAGGGATAGGCATAGCGTCTTTTACTTAGGGACAATCTAACGTATCAACTCGCGGGTTGACATCTATGTATCTACATGTATAAGTATGCTGCGTTTAACTTGCAAGTGAATAAATGAAGTCCACAGAAAGCATACATGACATTTACATCCCCATGACACATCGTTCTTTATTTAAGTATACGGTCCTGAGGACAGGAAATTAACGGACAATTATTGTATAAGCTATTTTTGTATTTGTTTCCAGGTAACTCATTGGAACTCACCGCATTTTCATGCGTTTTATCCAACAGCAAACTCGTATCCTGCTATCGTGGGTGAAATTTTGAGCTGCGGTATCAGTTGCATCGGATTTTCGTGGCTTGCATCTCCTGCATGCACGGAGCTCGAGGTCATTACGATGAATTGGCTCGGAAAATTAATAGGATTACCGAAGGAGTTTCTAAATTGTAGCGAAGGCCCTGGAGGAGGCGTTATACAGGTAGATTGCTAATTAAAAGAAGGACGCAACTCATAATGTGAAAGGAAGTGATTAGAAATTTGATTCCTGTGTTACGAAATAATAATTGCATTGCTTTAATTTATAGAGTTTTGATAGAAAAGTGAGATTTCTAGTTATATTACACTCAACATCATTGAATATATTCTATTATACGTATACATATATATAGAAAACATTTATTTTGAAAGTGAGGCAAGTCAATTTTCTGTTATTGCGAGATATTTAAAAGTTTGCATTTAAATACATTTAGAAATATTAGTAAGCATTAATAGACAAATTTTTTGTATTCTATACTGTTTGATAATGTATGTTTATTACACCTAAATGGACTTGCATCACATTCAAAATTAATGAATTATTGTAATCGTTAATTAAACGAATAATATTACGGTTATTCAGTCATTGTCGTTCTTAATTTCTTCAAATCATTTGGATCAAATTTTCTTCTTATTCAGATCATAGCGTTTTCTGTTTTAAACAAAGACGTAATAAAGTAAATAAATTTTTCCACATAATTTGCATTCAGAAATGAAGTGTTGATCAGTCGCTGCAATAAATAGAATCGATGACTCTCGTGTGTAATTTCCTTTTTATCAATCCAAAGAAAGATTGTGGTTGTCACACTGCTTATTAATATTCTATAATGTCCTTAGCTCGGTTTAGGGTAGTAACCTTAATCTTAACATACATATATACCTAGGTTACAATATTATGGATTATTGTTATAAAGGGAAAGAAAAAAGTGTATATTATAATCAACAATATTTCAAAATAACAAGTTTGAATAAAATTATCACATTCAAAGTGTCATTTTTGTTAAAAGTTACTAATTAAAATTAAACTACGGTTACACTGCTCTTACGCTAATTTGATATAGGTGGACTATACAAAAGAAGATTATTGTTTTCCAATTGTAACGTGTTACTTAATGAGTATTGTATAATTATATCGCAGTTTAAACATTATTATTTAACTTATGATAGTAGATCCGTATAAGGTGATAACATTACAGGTTTTTACTATAATATTATACGACTATATTCTATTTTTCAGAACATTTTTGTTTATCACATTATATTGATATATTCAACAAATTATGTTGTTGACGAACTGATATATTGAAGATATAGCTCTTCCACTTGTGTTGAAGCATTTGTCAGTTAAATAATTTTGTAGAAATTAAAGTAAAATATCTAACAGAAAATTTTCCCAATTGCAAAATTCAATAGAGATCATAGTAAATAGTATTTAGGAAAAATTTGTATCAATTGAATAATTACATACAAATCAAATTAAGTAATGCATACACTTGTTTTGTATTTTTACATAAAATTTTTGTTATTCATTATCAGTCATTGTCACGATGGAAAAGAATTTCCATACGAATTATTTAGAACATGTGATTTGATACTAATACTTTTTAAGTTCTATCAAATTGCTTAAATAATTAGAGGTAACTTAAACTTATACACATTTAAATTCATTTAAACGTCTAGGCAGTATCTTATCTACTCGCTTATTTTATGCAATAAGTGTGACGAAAATACTCACAAGATAATCTGCAGCATATATTGATACTATAGGAGATTATTTAGAGAAAACAGATAGGTAGGTGAAAAAGGAATTACATATATATTAACGATTTAAAAATGTATTGTTCTTGAAGGTTACTATATTTGCTTAGTAATTTATTTAATAGACATTATACATATGTATCATTTATGTGAAATTGTAGATTATGATATTCTGAACTTTTGTATCTACTTTACATTAGCATTTTCTAATAACTTTTTGGTTTTAAGTAAAATATTTATATATGATAATTATTAACATTCGATTTCTTATATGTTTCTTCATTTTATAATTGAAATTGTAAAATAAAAAAAAAGACGGGCTCGTCCGGGATTTGAACCCGGGACCTCTCGCACCCTAAGCGAGAATCATACCCCTAGACCAACGAGCCGTGATAGCAGAAGTTTCTTAATCTGCGTGATATGTCTGCTTTCTTGAGACTATATTTGTCTTGCTGTAATTATAATCTTTAACGCCTAATATCTACAATTTGTACTCGGCGCGTATCGGTCAATTAGTATGTATCATAATTTCTTTGGAACCTTCCTCGAAGACCATGTATTGAACATCGTTTCGTATAAAATTTAACGCGTGGAATGTATAAAAATGTTTAAACAATCCCAGATTCGTAAGTTCAATTATGAAATACATAGTGAAGTGTAGATGTAATAAGTGAAACGTTTGAAATATGTATGTACAGTTGGAGAAAGAAGTAGATTTCAATTTTTTATGAAGTATTTAAACAAATAGAATGTTTATATTTATTTATTCTTGATCGTATAATATGAACTGTTGCTAAAAAACACCTTTCAACGAGGCGCCGTGGCTTAGTTGGTTAAAGCGCCTGTCTAGTAAACAGGAGATCGAGGGTTCGAATCCCTCCGGAGCCTGGAGAAGATGAATACGATATCCACTTTCTTTCTACTAGAACAAGAATCGACAGTTCACAAAATCTACTACGAAATTATTTTTGTTATTACTAAATAAAAATTATACCTTATTTAAATTATGTTTTGCAATTTATTTGTACCGTAAAACAATGTGACATTTTTTTCTCACTCATATTGTGACGTATTTATAAAACTGCTTGCTTTAATTGAGTAAACAATGAAATTAAACTAAATTTAAACTTAATGATTAATATTATAATAACTTTATTTAATTTTGTTCAGCAGTGATTATAACTAAAAAGGAAATTCCGCGAGTTGTTATTATAAAGCGATTTAATATTTTTAACAATTTAATATACATTTAATATACAGCTCATATACATTTAACTTTATACTTATCTATTACTATCAGATAACTATTATATACTTGTCTATTATTAATTATACATATGTACATAATTCTTTTTAAATAGGGATCTGCGAGTGAATCTAGCCTGGTGTGTTTATTAGCAGCAAAAGAACAAACAACACGTCGTTTGAAACATCTTCATCCAGATTGGGACGAGGCTTCTATTAAATCGAAATTAGTTGCATACACATCTGGTAATTATTTCATTTGTATAATACATGTATTCGATTTCATTTTTCTAATTATATACTACTTATTGTTAGTTTGTTCAATTATTATAACTTATACTATAAGGAGAATAAAATGAAATTTAATTAAAAGGTTAAATTAATTAACGGTTAGATAATTCGTAAAGTGGTAAATTAATTGAATTTAGTAGATCACTTATTTTTATTGTCTTATTTAGTTCAATTATTTTCAATTAAGAACAGATATTGAAGTAAAGTAACTGTGTCAATTGAAAATAGTTATAACAGCACAAAATTTGTGCTTTTAAAATGATCATAGATTATAGTCATTGATACATAGCAATATATAAAAATCTTTTGATTCAGTACCTGATGTTTAAATATCACAATTAATTCGAGCAAATATTATTTAAAAATCAAATAAGAATTCAGATGCTTATTACTTTCTTTTCAACTCTTAATCGTTTGATAATAACAATTATAAGACCATTTCAATAAATCGTTTTAACTTTCAATGTTATTTCACACAGATCAATCGAATTCCTCCGTAGAAAAAGCAGGAATTTTAGCTTCAGTCACCATGAAACTTTTACCTGCCGACGATAAATGTGTTTTTCGAGGTGAAACGTTATTGAAAGCGATCAAGGAGGACTTGGTGAAAGGTTTGATACCATGCTGTGTTATAGCTACCTTAGGTACCACAGGCACATGTGCATTCGACAATCTTGAAGAACTGGGTCCCATTTGTAATGAATACAATGTGTGGTTGCACGTCGATGCTGCATACGCAGGTTAATAATTTTATGATAAATTTAATTTTTTGTTTAACATTACCAAGTGGTGTCAAAAAGCACCTTTCAAATTTTAACTTAAAATTATTCTCTAAGTTGAATCATTTCTGTACAATTAATTTTTTTACCTTTCATACAATACTTGCTAAATTAATTCAGTGATATCATTTTCTTACGGCTCATCCTAGATTTAAAAATGTGCATATGATATACTTATTTCTATACAATTTTAATTAACCCAGATAGTAAAAATTTTACTGAATTTGCTGGTTTATTAGTAAGGAAAAGTAAAATAAATCCAAATTAAATTTTTTATATACCTACATGCAGATAGTAAACAAAACATTTTAAATTGAACTTGCAATTTCTGTGAAAAGTCTTAAAGATAATGTGCAAAACGTGGTAATACGAAGTATTAAAATTTAAATCTGCTACAAATAATTTTCAATTGACAAATAATGCAATACAAGTGAAATAACAAGTATGTAAGAACCAAAAATAAAATATTCAAAAACTATCAATATCTAAAAAATATGTTATGAAGATATAATATTGGAGTTATACAACTTGCTTTTCAGAAATAGGTATTAATAAATTAATTACAGATGCGAGTGCGTTATATTTTTTTTGACAGGTGCTGCTTTTGTCTGTCCCGAATACCGTTATTTGATGTCTGGGGTCGAATATGCTGACTCTTTCAATATTAACCCACACAAATGGTTACTCGTGAATTTTGACTGTTCTGCACTATGGTGCGTCTACTTGCCTTTTATCATCATTTACACCGTATTTAAATACAAAAATGAATAACTTCCAAAGAAGACTAATTAAATATTTATGATAATTATAGGGTTAAAGATTCTAGAAGACTCGTAGAAGCATTCAGCGTCGACAGAATTTATTTAGCACATGACAAGCAGGGACTTGCCCCGGATTACAGAGTAATTATTTGTTTGTTTGAATGTTTTAAATTTTAAAGTACAACTCAAATTTTTTCATACCGAAAAATTAATAGATAATATGACTTTTTAGAACTGGCAAATTCCTTTGGGACGTCGCTTTCGTTCTCTGAAGCTTTGGTTTGTTTTACGTCTATATGGAGTGGAAGGATTACAGCAACATATTAGACATACAATAAAATTCGCCGAAATGTTTGAGGAATATGTTAAATCGGACAGCAGGTTCGAATTAGTGACAGATAGATCTATGGGTTTAATTTGCTTCAGAATGAAGGTACGTACATGAAGATTTGACAAGATGTTATCGATCTAATGGTACAATAGAAAAAGAAATTGTTATTCATAAAAAAGTCAAAAATACACAATAACATTTTGTATAATTGATTTCGTTTCCTACAGAATTGAATTTGAAATGTTTTTAAAATAACTGTAATGAAATTTGTTTACGGCAAAAAAGATCACAACCAGATTTGTAACTCCTTATATACGAGGGTTGTCCGTAAAATAAGGTTCCCAAAGGGCTGTAGTTGCGAGGAACGGTGTTACGTGAAATCTGGTGGCACTGACGTGTAGCTTGGTCCTTCCTCTTTCAGACCCCGCCAGCTACCTGCGACTCTCCATTTTAGCATGACAATCGCTAGAAATGGAGCTCCCACTCGCTTCTCCCGCTAGGTGCGAATTACACTCTGTGATTCGTTTTTTGTGTGCAAAAAACATTGCAGCGGTGGACATTCATCGCCAATTGTGTGAAATCTACGGAGAAAAGTGTATGAGCGTAAAGCACGTGCGAAAATAGTGCAGAAAATTCAAAGACGGACGTACAGATGTCCATGACGAACAGCGTTGCGGACGGCCATCCGTTCTAAGCTACCTTCGCGGCGTGGCGGAGAGTTCTATGATGCGGGCATAAAAAAGATGGTGCACCTCATGCAAAAATGCATTGATCTGAACGGCGATTGCGTCGAAAAATAGGGTTAAGCCTAAGCTTTCCAAAAACATATTACTCAATGCCAATAAACATGTTTTTCATTGTGAAAAATCATTGGGTACCTTATTTTACGGACAACCCTCGTATAAAAATTCATAGAAAATAAAGAATAGAAAAATATACATATACTGCAAGAACTAATTTGTACTTTTCTCTAGTAATTTTCTATATAAAAAATTATAAAGTAGCTCCACACTGTCGTATATTTCTTTCTAATTGATTATTACGATTTTCAGGGTGACAATCAGTTAACTAAGGAACTTCTCAACCGTTTAACAGCCGAAAAGAAAATCTACGTGGTTGCCGCAACTTATTGCGAGAAATTAGTCGTTCGATTTGTGATTTGCAGTCGATTAACTACAGAAGAAGATATAATATTTGCTTGGAATGAGATTACGAAACAAGCGACAGAGATTCTGCGAGCTGAGACTCCTTGTTTGGAAGAAAAACCGCATGAGTCATTCGTGAAAACTTCCGGTGACTTAGCGACGAGGATTGAAAATTTGAATCTTGAATCGAAAACGCAAAAAATATCGTAGAACGAATTGCAAAGTAAAAGTAGGAAATTATACTTAACCATTAGAGAACGAGCTACTTCTTCTTAGATTTACTGCATCTTTTTACTTAAATTTTTATATTTGTATCACAATATTATGTGCACTACTAAAAATAAGTAATTTAGAATTTCATTTTGACGATATGAGACAAAAGTGGAAAAATGTAGAAAGATTAGAAAAATTAGAAAAATTGTCTTACAAAACTTCATACGCATAAATCTTAATAAATAGATGTAGTAAAGAGGACAAAAATCTTTTCTTCGGATGACGAAGACCTCATTGTTCTACAAATTTTAAAAATTAGCATGTTTTAAGTATCAATATAATTATTTCAAAATTTATGTGATTCTCTATTGTCCCGTCATGTCCTTAAATATTGTAAAGCAAATTGTTTTGCACTTACTAAATGGATCCAGAAAAACATTTATCTGTCCTAAATTGACACCATCAGTAACTGTGAACTAACAAAGTTTAATTCTACTACCAAATTTGGTATTAGATAATACCGTCGCGAAACATACGATGATACTACAGTAGAAAATCAGTTTAAAATTTACAAAATTAGATATTCGTTCTCTAAACGTTAATTTTTTCATTTTTCGACATAATTTCAAAGTTTTAAGTACCTGCTAGAGCTTTTAGTCTTCGTAGGATGGTGATTTTTAGTTTTAAGAAAATGAGATTTTTAATGCAAAGGTTCATTTATATTTGATGATAAAATACTTATTTGACATCGAGTCTATGAAAGTAAAATGTTGAAGATATCTGATTTGAATTTAAAGTAGCATGTGAATTGTATGATGAAGGTAAATAATTGCAAAGTTCTTTGCCGGAGAGAATGAAACTTTGTGATTTAGTTTAAGTGCAATCGTTGTAAAGTTTTTTCTGCTAAAATAAATATTTATAGCTCACATTAAATATGTTTGTTTATTAAAGTATTCAATCGCAGTATGCTAGTACTAATAAATATAAATCTGTTACATTAAGTAATTAACCCTTTCGCTACGGTGATTTTTTCTGAGAAATGTGATTATGGTCTTATTTATTATAATAAAAAGTCAGATATTCTTATTTATAAAAAGCAAAGCTAAAGCCTTTCTGTACAGTTTTTTATCCTTCCTTTATGTACAAAGGATAATACAAATGACAAATGTTATAACACGCCGTCATAACTCTTTTTTATAAAAACTTTTTAATCGCTGGGAAAAAACTCTGTTGGTATAAAAGTGGGCGCCTATAGGTGCTCTCAGTAATACAAACACAAAATTTCTAAGCGCCTATAGGCGCCCACAGTAGCCAAGGGGTTAATAAACATTTGAGACTACTAGTAACAGCTAAGAAAATCATATAAAATATTAAAAATGATTGCACAACAATTTTTTATTTCAACACATGTTGATTTAATAGAATTGAAGAACAGATTTCGAGATTTTGATTAATAGCAGTAATTTTTATTGATAAAATTTAATTACAAATTTTATAAATCAAAAGCTTATAAAATTGAAGTTTGTACAAAATATTGAATAATACCCATAAAAAGTAACAGGGTAATATTAAATATTTTATATTTAATAAAAAACATATAAATCACTTAATAAAAACATGGACAGTGTAAAATATATTGTATGCATTTAATTAACACACATGATTATATACATGATAAAAAAAATAAAAGTGAAATGATAATTTTGATGAGAGGAACATATTCATGAGAGGGGCGCCATGACTGTGCTTCAATTTAACGCGGCATTTAAATAATAAATACTTCTGAATAAGTAAATGAACACACAGTGTAAATAGTAAAAAGAAAAAATTAACATTTGGTCCGACGTAGATATGTAATTTATAAGTTTGTTCTTGAAATTACAAATTTTTCAAAAATATCTCGTGGAAATGAATATTGAGAAAAGAATGACAATTACTTATATTGATACATGAATTACGTTGATACATTGTTAATGACATAACATCATATTAATATTCATAATTATGCTAAGTTATGCTAAATTGAAATTGAAATTAATTTATGTTGTAAATGTTCCCATTGGCCTTCTTTCTCTCTTGTTTAACTTTACCTCGCCTTTTACCTTTTTATTAATTTACAAATATGAAGAATTTCACTGCAATTCAAATAAGAAATATGTGTCACAGCTGGCTACGATTGTGAACAATGAAACATCATGATGGCAATGGTCGTTTGTTTGCGCGTTTGACATGATCTCCTCATAGCAACGTTCACCGATAAAAACCCTCCCTTGATAACATCTAAATTTCTATCAAGATAACGTATCATCATCTTCATGAACAAATTTACCAGTTTCGCCGATTTACATCCAATGAGATGCTACTTACGAGGTCCACATTACCGTTGCGAAGGGTCCAAAGAATTTTAGTAAGGTACATGCGCATGTGGATCAATGGAAAAATCTGTATTCGCATTTTCATTAAACTTAAAATTCATTTTTTACATTAGTTTATTTTCATTTAGCGTATCTTCTTAGAAATAAATTAAAATTCATTAACATGTCTTTACTTTGTTCGTAAAGCACTGTACGGATATGTTTATGTAAAAAGTTTGAGGTTGGAACGCAACTTTGACAATTTCATGCGCTGTATGTGACAGATTTCATGATTAAAAGTGGAACTATAAATTACGGTATATTTCTCGACTAAATATAATTATTTTACCGTGATATATAAATTATTATTTTTTTATAATTCCAAGATTATTCGACTGCGAGTGTATGTGAATTCATAAAATATTAAACCGAACAAAGAATATGCAAGTAATTATGTAGTAATGGAAAGAAAATAAAAGATTGCTAAGAAAGGGAAAAATATTAAGAATATGCAAATTAAATAATACTTTAATCAGCTAACCTTATCTTGGTCAAAAAGAATATTTTATAGAAATATACATTCATATAAACATTAATAGTTTATTATTTATGCATCTTTGTGTTTGTTAATAATCATGGCATTACCAAATTATGTTCATTGACAAAAACTAGTTTTGAATTTTTTTATATAAATGTAAATAATTCTATTTTTATATTTACAGATATTCATTTAACATAGCACATTATAATTTAAAATAACTTTCAATAAATTCTACAAATTTTTTTTAAAACAGAAACTATTCGACCATTCAACATACTGTTTGTAAAGCAAACAGAAAAATGAACAATAACGTTTAACTGGTTAATGAGGAGATTACAAGAAAGGAAAACGAATTTTAAAAGTACAAATATTTGCAGAAGAATAAATATAACTTTACTCACAAATTATTTGACGATAAAGTATTGAAAACAATTTCTGCAAACGATACTTAAAATTATTACTGTCAAATAAAGCAGTATCTATTTCTATAAGTATTTCTTTGATTGCGATAGATCTGTTAACTTAAAATAATAACGCGTCTTTATGTCAGGTTGATATTACAAATACGAAATTAGCATTTCAATAATGTGTTTTTTTTTTTAAGACTTGGCACTGTTAATATTGATTTATTTTATACCACGTTATACATTATACTATTTACATATATGTATAAATCTGACATTGAGTTCAATTTGATATATATCGTGTAATTGTTTTGTAAAATTTTGAACAGAATAGATTTAATATTGTAGATGGTTTTAGTATAGGATTTTTGGTCATCAATGTTGAAGAAATACCACAAAAGACACCTTAAACATAATTTGACATGCATTTTGTCAACAAAAGAATTACGCCATCGTATCACGATAAAATATAGTTTATCAAAGAGCTCCGTGATAGTTACAAGTTATTCAACGAGACAGATTTCAAGAATTAAATATTTCTAATACTCTAATTTAGACAATTTTTTTTCAACATTCGAATCATTACAAAAAGTAAATCTGATAATTCATATTATTTCTTCTTCAAAAATAAAACATACGAATTTCATGAATATCTTATTCTCTTATTGAATATTGTAAGCGATATTTATTTTCATCCCTAAAAAGCGGATAGATCGGCTAGTTATACTATAATATTATACTATAATAATGAAATAAGTATTTTCTTTATTGTGCTTGCAAACAAAGTTTGTCAATTATTTTTATGCAAGTCTAAACATTTTCACGGAAAAAATTGAAATAATTATTGAAAATTTAGATGTATATAATATTATTTCAATTAATAACCCTAGTTATTCGATTAATATACGATAAAAAATTTTCAGTATGTTTTTATTCAACTGCTATCAAGTTGAAATATCATTTTCAGTGAAAATAATTGAACTACAGTCCTGGACAAAAAGATAGCACATGTGTGCTATCTTTAATTTCTTGAAAACTACTTAGAATTTTTTAATGTAATACATAACATTCTAATTGTTACATGGCAGAGAGAAGGAACTTCTTAGTAAATATGGTTGACCTTGCTAGGCATCTGAGCAAGCAGAAGAAATATACAAATACTGGCGGTGAAATGATAGCACATTGACAAAATTTATACATATATTTTCACAAAAAAAGAAAGTTACATTGCAATTAATACAAAGTTAATAATGAGTATATCCGCCTTTATTTTCTATTACTTCGAGTACCCGCTTTGGTAAGGATTTGTATAACTTTTTAATTGTTTTTTGTGGCAACTTATCCCAATCTATCTTAATAGCTTCTTTTAATTGTTTAATATTATCATGCTGTTTTCCATTCTTATATACAGCACGTGCTAGTTCTCCCCAATAATTTACAATAATATTCAGGTCCAGGGAGCGTGCGGGCAACGGAAAAACTGATACGTTTTCTCTTTGAAAAAATTGTTCTTCGACTTTAATTCGGAGAATTGCAGCATTGCCATGTTAAAAAGTAAATTTATCAGTGGTAATTCGTAGTGCGTGTTCATTACTTTGTTTTGAGAGTAAATTCATATGTTTTTGATAATTCATTTTTCCTTCAAGAAACTGTACATTTGTTTTATCTTTGTATCCATTCCATTTAAATTCCAGTCCGGATCACTACACTACCCCCACACATGTGCTATCTTTTTGACCAGGACTGTACTACCGAAATTAAACGAAACTATTTTAGTAATTATTTTTACAATCTTTGCTTGCCATACTGCTCTACAAGCAATGACAGAGAATATGCTTTAATGATCTGAAATTTGTTATTTAATTCTATAACTATAAATATGTAGAATCTATTCGTCGAAGAAAGGAGGAGGGGATAAGGAGATACCATCATGCACAAAAGTTACCAAGTTCGATTCATGTCAGCTGGATCCTTGCATGCTGGATCCATGCAAACCAGAACCAACGGTGGTGATCATCGGTGCAGGAATGGCTGGACTTTCAGCTGCACATCGCTTAGCACAATGTGGTCTTCAAAATTTTACGATATTAGAGGCAACGGATAGGTATGTCTTCCATTTATCATGAATCGTTCCAACAATCATTATTACACTATTTGGTGTTTCATGACATGTCCTACTTTAGAAGTAAGATATAAAACTAGTGAAAAATATTCGTACAAATTAGAGTTGTAAATCCAGGTTCGAAAATTCGAACATTTGTATGCCAATGAAATTCCGTTTTAAAATTTGAATATTTCAGCAAGAGTATATGTTCCAGTTTACAGAGACTTTCATTCAATTTGCACGGTTATATATTAATTAAAAAATACTGCTACATAAATGGTATTTTTTTAAAATCATTCTCTGTTATTAAACAATTCTTTTATGCAAAGAAGTTTTTTTAAACTAAAAGAAAGAATATATTTATAATGTATTTAAGAAAGCAAAAATAGATGATTTTGTCTGTATTAGGAAGCCATTTTGGTTGTTGCAAATTTATTTTTTGTGGTCCAATTTTAAATCCTGTTTACATTTCAGTGTTCCTTATTACGATGTCTTCGAATATCGC